ATTTTTTTCATACCTTTGTAAATGGAATTGCTTTCTTAATTTTCTTTTCAGATTGTTTATTGTTGGTGAATAGAAAAGGAACTGATTTTTGTGTATTGATTTTTTTTCTGCAACTTTTCCAAATTTGTTTATTCATTCTAGCAGATTTTTGTGAAATCTTCAGGGTTTTCTATGTATAAGATCATGGCATCTGCAAACAGATAATTTTATGTCTTCCTTTCAAATCTGAATGAGCATGTTTCTCTTTCTGGCATAATTGCTCTAAGACTTCTTGTACTATTTTGAATAGAAGTGGTGAAAGTAGGCATCCATGTCTTGATCCTAATCTTAGACAAAAATCTTTTAGTCTTTCATCCTTATGTTAGTTTTCATTTTTCAAAATTTTTTTTATTATGTCTATATAGTTTCCTTCTATTCCTAGTATGTTGAGTATTTTCATCATGAGACAGTATTGAATTCTGTCAAATGCTTTTTCTGCATCAATTGAGATGAGTAGGGGCAACAAGGAGACCTTGTCTATACTAAAAAAAAAAAAAAAAAAAAAAGCCGAGCATGGTGGCACACCTATAGTCCCAACTCCTGCGGAAACTGAGGTAGGAGGATTGCCTGAGCCCAGGAGGTACAGGCTGCAGTGAGCCATGATCAAGCCTTTGCACTCCAGCCTGGGCAACAAAGTGAAATGCTGTCTCAAAAACAAAAACAAACAAACAAACAGAGATGAGGATTATGTGGTTTCTGTCCTTCATTCTGTTAATGTGCTGTATTACTTTGATTTTCATGTTGAACCATGTCAGCATTCCGGCAATAAATCCCACTTGATTATGGTGTATAATCCGTTTTTGTTTGTGTGTGTGTGTTTTTTGAGATGGATTCTCACTCTTGTTGCCCAGGCTGGAGTGCAGTGGCACAATCTCAGTTCACTGCAACCTCCACCTCCCAGGTTCAAGTGATTCTCCTGCCTCAGCCTCCTCAGTAACTGGGATTACAGGCACCTGCCAAGAAGCCCGGTTAATTTTTTTTTTTTTTTTTTTGAGACATAGTTTCACTCCTGTTGCCTAGGCTGGAGTGCAATGGCACGATCCTGGCCACCACAACCTCCGCCTCCTGGGATCAAGTGATTCTCCTGCTTCAGCCTCCCATGTAGCTGGGATTACAGGTGCGTGACACCAGGCCCAGTTAATTTTGTATTTTTAGTAGAGACGGGGTTTCTCCATGTTGGTCAGACTGGTCTCGAACTCCTGACCTCAGGTGATCCGCCAGCCCCGGCCTCTCAAAGTGCTGGGATTACAGGCGTGAGCCACTGCCCCCGGCCTAATTTTTGTATTTTTAGTAGAGGTGGGGTTTTCCCATGTTGGCTAGGCTGGTCTTGAACTCCTGACCTCAGGTGATCCACCTGCCTCAGCCTCCCAAAGCGCTGGGATTATAGGCATGAACCACCATGCCTGACCGGTGTATAACATTTTTTTAAATGTTTGATTCAGAGCCAGGCATGGAGGCTCACATCTATAATCTCAGCATTTTGGGAGGCCAAGGCAGGTGGATTGCTTGAGCCCAAGAGTTTGAGACTAGCCTGGGCAACATAGCAAGACTCCATTTCTACAAAAAAACAAGAAATTAGCTGGGCATGGTGACATACAGCTGTAGTCCCAGTAACTTGGGAGGCTGAGGCAAGGGGGTAACTTGAGTCCAGGAGTTCAAGGCTGAAGTAAGCCATGATCAAACCACTGCTCTCCAGCGTGGTAACAGAGCAAGACTGTCTTTAATAAATAAACAAATAATAAATAAAAATCGATAAATGTTAGATTCAGTTTGTTATTATTTTGTTGAAGATTTTTGCCACAAAATGTATAAGGGATATTGGTCTGTAGTTTTCTTTCTTGTGGTATCTTTGCCTGACTTTGGTGTAAGGACCCTATTGGCTTCACAGAATCATTTAGGAGGAGTTCCCTCCTTTTCACATCTTTGAGAAAACTTGGTGTTGATTTTTCTTTTTTTCTTTTCTTTTTTTTTTTTTTTGAGACAGAGTCCCTCTCTGTCGCCAGGCTGGAGTGCAATGGTGCAATCTAGGCTCACTGCAACCTCCGCCTGCTGGGTTCAAGCGATTCTCCTGACTCGGCCTCCCGAGTTGCTGCGACTATAGGCACGCACCACCACATCCAGCTAATTTTTGTATTTTTAGTAGAGACGGGTTTTCACCATGTTGGCCAGGATGGTCTGGGTCTCTTGACCTTGCGATCTGCCCACCTCGGCCTCTTAAAGTGCTGGAACTACAGGTGTGAGCCACCGTGCCCAGCCAATTTTTCTTTAAATATTTGGCCGGACACAAATCTGGTCCGGGGAAGTGTTTGATTGTTGATTCAATATCCTTCCAGTTATGTCTGTTCTAATCTTCTGTTTCTTATCAGTACTGGTGGGTTGTGTGTTTCTAGGAATTTGTTCATTTTAGCTAGATAATTGTGGTTTTTGGCATACAGTTTTTCATAGTACTCTCTTCTAACCCTTTTTATTGCTATAGAATCAGTAATCATGTCCCACTTTCATTTCTGATTTTAGTAATTTGAGGATTCTTATTTTTTAATAAATTAAGTCGAAGATTTCTCCATTTTGTTAATCTTTTCAAAGAATCAACTTTTGGGCTTATTTTCTTTACTGTTTTCGTATTCTCTTTATAAAATAATCTCTCCTCTATTTTTTTTTTATTTCCTTTGTTCCGCTCCCTCAGATTTAGTTTATTCTTCCTTTTCTAGTTTCTTAATGTGTACATTGTTTATTTTAGATCTTTTTTCCTCTTTGATATAAGCATTTACCATGATAACATGTCCTCTTAGCACTGCTTTTACTGCATCCCGGAAGTTTTAGTATGTTGTGGTTTTTGCTTCACTTATCTCCAGATCTTTTCTAATTTCTCATATGAGATCCTCTTTGACTCGGCTATTTAAAAGCTTGATTTCTACATGTGTGAGTTTACTCTTTTCCTTCTGATGTTGATTTCTAGTGTCATATTGTGATCAGAAGTTTTAATTTGTTATTTTAAATTTATAAAGAATTACTCTGTGGTCTAACTTACGGTTTATCCTGGAGAATATTCCATGTATCTTTGAGAAAAATTGAATGCTTCTGTTTGTGGTGAACTGTTTTTTATGTCTTTTAGTTTCCATTAGTATATAGTGATGTCCAAGTACTCTACGTCCTTATTGATCTTCATTCTGATTGTTCTATTTTTGAAAGTGGGACAATTGAAGTCTCCAAGTGTTATTATAGTAGTGTAAATTTCTCCCTTCCATTCTGTTTATTTCCTGTATTATGAACATGATGGATTGGATAAAAGGAATTGAGTGAAACAGAACTTTTAGTGGGAGGTTTTATTTTTATCTGACTAGCAGTTAGGGAGTGTTTACTGTGTGCTGTAGCTATTGGTGTCAAAGGATACAATTTCTTTTTCTTTTCTTTTCTTTCTTTCTTTCTTTTTTTTTTTTTGAGACGGAGAGTCCCTCTGTTGCTCAGGCTGGAGTGCAGTGGCTCGATCTCTGCTCACTGCAACTTCCACCTCCTGGGTTCAAGCAGTTCTCCTGCCTCAGCCTCCTGAGTGGCTGGGATTACAGGCATGCGTCACTATGCCCGGCCAATTTGTTTTTTTTTTTGTATTTTTAGTAGAGACAGGGTTTCAGCATGTTGGTCGGGCTGGTCTCAAACTCCTGACCTCGTGATCCGCCCACATTGGCCTCCCAAAGTGCTAGGATTACAGCCGGGAGCCACTGCGCCTGGCTGTCATAGGCTAATATTTCCTCTGTTGTCTTTTTTTTTTTTTTTCCTTTTTTGTCTTCCCTATTGTCTTTGGGTTTTCCTTAATATTTCTTTGTAAATAAGGTCTGAGACATTCCCCAGTTCACTTTCTTCCACTCTCTTCTCCCCTTCTACCTTCTTTCTCCTAATTATCCTAAGCATTTTATTCTCCAAACTAAAAATACAGGTTCTTGGGGATAGAATCTTCTTTTTTTTTGAGATGGAGTCTCCCTCTGTCACCCAGGCTGGAATGCAATGTGTGATCTCAGCTCACTGCAAGCTCCACCTCCTGGGTTCACACCATTCTCCTGCCTCAGCCTCCCGAGTAGCTGGGACTACAGGTGCCCACCACCAGGCCTGGCTAATTTTTTTGTATTTTTAGTAGAGATGGGGTTTCACCGTGTTATCCAGGTTGGTCTCGATCTCCTGACCTTGTGATATGCCTGCCTCGGCCTCCCAAAGTGCTGGGATTACAGGCGTGAGCCACCGTGCCAGGCTGATAGAATCATTTTTAATAGGCCCTGCCAAATCACATTTAATTACAGTTGTTTTACTGTCTCCCTGCTAGTGTGCAAGTCCCCTACAGCAGGTACTGCATATTTTAATCGTTGCATACATTTTGCCTGGTTCATAATCAATTTTCGATAAATACTTGTGAAATTATTGTATGCAGGAGCTCATAAACATTTTCTGTTACTGTTACTTTTCATTAGATAACTCACTCGTGGCTGGGCACAATGGCTCACATCTGTAATCCCAGTAATTCTGAAGGCTGAGGTAGGCAGATCACTTGAGCTCAAGAACTCAAGACCAGCCTGGGCAACACAGCAAAACCTTGTCCCTAAAAATAGTACAAAAATTAGCTGGGCTTGGTGGCCCATGACTATAGTCGCAGCTACTCAGGAGGCTGAGGTGGGAGGATCTCCTGAGTACCGTAGGTCGAGGCTTCAGTGAGTCATGATTGCACCACTGCACTCCAGCCTGAGTGACAGAGTGAGACCCTATTCCAAAAAACAAAACCCAAACCATAAAAACCTCACTCTTTCTAGGTAGAGTTTCTGTCTTCACAGTGGTTTTTAATGCTGATTCATAATAGAATCTCTTTTGGGGAGCTATAAAATATATGTTGGGTCTACAGAGAAGATTGTTGACATAAGTGGAAGATAATCTATTTCAGCATATGTATGATAACTATAAAACAAGAACCAAATGGACATTTTAGAACTGAAAATTCCACTCTGAAATGAAAAATTTATTTGGACTTTCTTAAGAGAGATTGAGCATTACAGAAGAAAGAGTGAGTGAACTCGAAAAGAGATCAATAGATATCATTCCATCTGAAGTACAAGGGAAAATGAAACTGAAAGAAAACAAGGAAGTGAGTCTCCGTGACTTGTGGTACCATGTCATGCAGTACACATGGATCCAGGGACCAAGAAGAAATGGCTGGAAAAGATTAAAGAAAAAAAAAAGTTGATATATTCTCAAATGTAGTGAAAAAACATCAACTTACAGATCCAAAAAATTCATTAACCCCTCATAAAAATAAATGTAAAGAAAACCCTACCTGGACACATCATAGTCAATTGTACAGAGCAAATTTTGTGCATTCACAGGGAACAAAGATATGAATGACAACTGACTCAAAACAACGGAGGCTCAGGATGTGTGAAATGGTGAAAGAAAGCTGTTGACTTTTTGTTCACACTCATTGAGAATGCCCTTTAAAAACAGGAAGTGAAAACATTGTGGCAGATTGAACTTTCCAAATTTTATAACAACAAATGTAACCAGAATAAATAATCCAATTAAAACGCAGAGTTTCCCCAACTAGAAAAAAAAAAAAGCAAGCTGAAATTATTAACTGTCTAAAATATATGCACCTTAAATATAAAGCTTCAGATAGACTGAAAGTAAAAGATGGAGGCCGGGCATGGTGGCTCATGACTGTAATCTCATCACTTCGGGAGGCTGAGGTTGGCAGATCACTTGAGGTCAGGGGTTCAAGACCAGCCTGGTCAACATGGTAAAACCTCGTCTCTGCTGAAAATACAAAAATTAGCTGGGCATGGTGGCAGGTGCCTGTAATCCCAGCTATTTGGGAGGCTGAGGCAGGAGAATCCCTTGAACGTGGCAGGCGGAGGTTGCAGTGAGCCAAGATGGTGCCTCTGCATTCTAGCCTGGGCAACAGAGCAAGACTCTGTCAAAAGAAAAAAAAGAAAAGAAAAAGAAAAAATCAATGAAGTCATAGACAATCTGAAAAATTATCAATCAACTTGGCCTAATAAACATTCATAGAATACTATACCCAACAACTGTAGAATGTTCATTCTTTTAGAGTGCACGTAGTATGTTTACTAAGGTAGACCCTATTCTGGGCCTACAAAGAGTCTTAAAAATTTAAAAGTATTGAAATCATACAGAATACTTTCTTTAGTTGCAGTGAAATCGAATTAGAAGTCAATAAGATATACAAAAAAGACTTTCATATTTGCAGTTTAAACCACCGTGGGTCAGAGAAGAAAGCCTGTAGAAATCAGAAAATATTCAAACTAAATGACGATTCCTAAATATCAAAATTTGTAAATTTGTAGGACATAACTACAGCAGGACATAGAGAGTATGAGTGCTTATGTTAGTAAAGAAAAAAGGATAGAAATCAATGATCTAGGTTTCCACTTAAAAGCTAAAAAAAAAAAAGAGCAGGCCAGGAACAATGGCTCACTCCTGTAATCCCAGCACTTTGGGAGGCCAAGGTGGGTGGATCACAAGGTCAGGAGATTGAGACCATCCTGGCTAACATGGTGAAACCCTGTCTCTACTAAAAATACAAAAAAATTTAGGCGGGCTTGGTGGCAGGCGCCTGTAGTCCCAGTTACTTGGGCGGCTGAGGCAGGAGAATTGCTTGAACCTGAGAGGCAGAGATTGCAGTGAGCCAAGATCATGCCACTGCATTCCAGCCTGGGCAACAGAGCGAGACTGTGTCTCAAAAAAAATAGGAAAAAAAAAAAAAAAAAAAAAAAGAAGAGCAATAAAGCGATATAAACCCAGAATAAGTATAAGAAAGGCAATAATGAGAGAAAATCTATAGAACAGAAAAGAGAAAAACCCTGAGAGTAATAAAGTTAACATAGACAGCATAGCTATTTGAAAAGAATAATAAATCATTAGCGAAACTCATCAAAGAGAGAGAGACAAAATGTAAGTTATCAAAATAAAAGAGAGGACATCACTATGATTGCTAAGGATAATAAGGGAATGTTATGAGCAACTTTATGCCAATATATTTAAGAACTCAAATAAAAGAGACAAATGCCTTGAAAATTTTTACTTGTCAAAAGAGACACATAAAATAATAGAAAATCTGAAAAACTCATATTATAGGATTTGAATTTGTTATCAAAAACCTTCAAACACATACATACCCCAAAAGAAAAACAACAAAAATTATCACCAAGTCCAGATAGTGTTACTGATGAATGTTATCAAACATTGAAGGAAGACATAATACCAATCTTAAAAGACTCTCAAGAAAACGGAGTTTATTTTATAAAGCCAGAATAATGATGATACCCAAACTTAGAAAGATATTACAGAAAAAGACAATGATAAATCAGTATCTCTCATGAATACAGACACAAACATATGCTTAAGAAAGTATTAGCAAACCAAACCTAGCAATATGTGAAAAAGATAATACATCATGACAGGTGAAATTTAACCCAGGAATTCAAGGTAGGTGCAACATTTGAAAGTCAATGTGATTAAACATTTGAATAGCACAAAGGAGAAAAACAATATAATCATCTCAATAGATGCCAAAAAATAACGTTTCAATGTGTCAAATGTTATTGTTTGTTATTGTTATGTTTCACACTCTATTAATGATAAAAATAGCAAAGTAGAAATGAAAGGGAATTTGATCTGATAAAGGGCACTGTCTTAGTCCATTTCCTGCTGCTATAACAGAACACCACAGAGTGGGCAACTTACAAAGAAATTTATTTCTTACAGTTCTTGAGGCTGGGAAGTCCAAGAGCATGAAGCTGTCCTCTGGTGAGGGTCACCACACAGCAGAAGCGCAGAAGGCAGAAGCAGGCCTAGGAGAGAGAGAGGGAGGAAATCGTATCAAACTCATTATTCCTTTTTATTTATTTATTTATTTTTTTGAGACGGAGTCTTGCTCTGTTGCCCAGGCTGGAGTGCAGTGGCCGGATCTCAGCTCACTGCAAGCTCCGCCTCCCGGGTTTACGCCATTCTCCTGCCTCAGCCTCCCGAGTAACTGGGACTACAGGCGCCCACCACCTCGACCCACTAGTTTTTTGTATTTTTTAGTAGAGACGGGGTTTCGCCATTTTAGCCAGGATGGTCTCGATCTCCTGACCTCTTGATCTGCCCGTCTCGGCCTCCCAAAGTGCTGGGATTACAGGCTTGAGCCATCGCGCCCGGCAACTCATTATTTTTTTTATCAGGAACCTACTCACATGAAAATTAACCCACTCCTGAGACAATAGCGTTAATCCATTCATGAAGATGGAGCCCTCATGAGCTACATCACCTCTTAAAGGCCCCACCTCCCTGGCCAACATGGTGAAACCCCGTCTCTACTAAAAATACAAAAATTAGCTGGGTGTGGTGGTGGTGTGTGCCTGTAATCCCACCTACTCGGGAGGCTGAGGTGGGAAAATCGCTTGAATCCAGAGGCCCAGGTTGCAGTGAGCTGAGATCGTGCCACAGCACTCTAGCTTGGACAACAGAGCGAGACTCGTCTTAAAAAAAAAAAAATAAATAAAAAAAGGCAGGCCTGGTGGTTCATGCCTGTAATCCCAGCACCTTGGGAGGTGGAGGCGGGCGGATTGCCTGAGCTCAGGATTTCGCGAGCAGCCTGGGCAACACGGTGAAACCCCGTTTCTGCTAAAAATACAAAAATTAGCCCGTCATGGTGGCGTGTGCCTGTAGTCCCAGCTACTGGGGAGGCTGGGGCAGGAGAATTGCTCGGACCTGGGAGGTGGAGGTTGCAATGAGCCAAGATCAGGCCACTTGCACTCCGGCCTGGGAGACAGAGCAAGACTCTGTCTCAAAAATAAACAGATAAATAAATAAATTAAATAAATTCAACATAAGTTTTGGAGAGGACATTCAAACTACAGCAGGCATCTATGAGGAAACTATTACTAACATCATATCTAATGGTGATTAATTAAATGTGTTCTAAGATAGGGAATAAGATAAGCATGTCTGCTTTAACTATTTCTATTTATTGTACTGGAAATCCTATCCAGGGCAATTCAGCAAGAAAGATGAATAAAAGGTATAAAGATTGGAAAGGAAGAACTGAGACAGTTTTTTTTTTTTTTTTTTTGAGACGGAGTCTCGCTCTGTAGTCCAGGCTGGAGTGCAGTGGCCGGATATCAGCTCACTGCAAGCTCCGCCTCCCAGGTTCACGCCACTCTCCTGCCTCAGCCTCCCCAGTAGCTGGGACTACAGGCGCCCGCTACCTCGCCCGGCTAGTTTTTTTGTATTTTTTAGTAGAGACGGGGTTTCACCGTGTTAGCCAGGATGGTCTCGATCTCCTGACCTCGTGATCCGCCCGTCTCGGCCTCCCAAAGTGCTGGGATTACAGGTTTGAGCCACCGCACCCGGCCGAGACAGTTTTTAGTTACAGACAATAGGATTGCTTACACAGAATATCCTAAATAATCTATAAAATAATAACTAGAAATATTATATCAATTTAGCAGTACTATAGGATACAAGACCGATGCACAAAAATCAACTGTATTTCTGTATAGTTGCAACAAACAATTTGAAAATAAGGTAAGCTAAACCAATTCCATTAGCAATAGTAACAAAAATAGTTAGAAATATATTTACAAAAGATATGCAATACCTGTACATGGAAAGTTTGCAAAATAGTCAAGCTTAAGTGACGAATACCTAAATAAATAAATAAATTTCATGGATTGAAAGACTCAAAATTGTTAAAATGTCAATTATTCCCATTGATATCTACATTCAAGGCAATCCTAATTAAAATCCTAGCAGGCTTTTTTAATTGAAAAAAAAATTCTATATTAAACATATATGGAAATATAAACCATTTAAGAGGTGTGGAGTAAGGGGAGGACTTGAACTGCCTAGTTTCAAGACTGACTATACAGCTCATAATTAGGACAATGTGGTAATTAGCATGAGAATAGCCAAATAAATAAACGGAACAGAATAGAGTCCAGAAAAGGACACACACATATATATGGTCAACTTAATTTCAACAAAAGTGATAAGGCTATTGGATAAGGAAAGAAAGTGTTTTCTTTTCTTTTTTGAGACGGAGTTTCCCTCTTGTGGCGCAGGCTGGAGTGCGTGCAATGGCGCCATCTCGGCTCCCCGCAACCTCCGCCTCTTGGGTTCAAGCGATTCTCCTACCTCAGTCTCCCGAGTAGGTGGGATTACAGGCATCCGCCACCACGCCTGGCTAATTTTGTATTTTTAGTAGAGACGAGGTTTCTCCATGTCTGTTAGGCTGGTCTGGAACTTCCGACCTCAGGTGATCCGCCAGCCTCGGTCTCCCAAAGTGCTGGGATTACAGGTGTGAGCCACCGCGCCCGGCCGAAAAGAAAGTCTTTTCAACAAATAGTACCGGAACTCGGTAAAATATGGAGAAAAATGAACATCAATCAGCGTCCCCTTTCTCTTACCCACTCCTCAGCCCCAAGGTCGCCCTGGGAGCCCTTCGCAGGCAGGACCGTGACTCGCCTGGCTTTCGGGAGGCTAATTTTCCGCTCCCTGGGCCCGCGAAGCGCTGGGTGCGGAGGAACTGCTGGAAAGGACCTGCCTCCACGTGGGACTGCCGCCAAGTCGCATCCCTGTCATGCACCAGGTAGTCCCCTATGGTTTAAGAACTTTCAAGACTCTTAACAGGTTAGGAAAATCCAGAGGAAAGGCAGAATTGGGTCCCTCGGGCTTGCCTGACACCAGGGACAGTGGAGTTGAGGTGACATTTCACTGGCATGGAAACCTGAGACCAATAGCAGGATGGGCCAGGCTCGGTGGCTCACGCTTGTAATCCCAGCACTTTGGGTGGCCAAGGAGGGCGGATCACGAGGTCAGGAGTTCGAGACCAGCCTGGCCAAAACAGTGAAACCCCGTCTCTACTAAAAATACAAAACTTAGCTGGGCGTGGTGGCGGGCGCCTGTAATCCCAGTTACTCAGGAGGCTGAGGCAGGAAAATCGCTTGAACCCGGGAGGCGGAGGTTGCAGTGAGCCGAGATCGGGCCACTGCACTCCAGCTAGGCGACAGAGCTAGACTCCATTTAAAAAAAAAAAAAAAAGGCCGGGCGCGGTGGCTCAAGCCTGTAATCCCAGCACTTTGGGAGGCGGAGACGGGTGGATCACGAGGTCAGGAGATCGAGACCATCCTGGCTAACACGGTGAAACCCCGTCTCTACTAAATATTACAAAAAACTAGCCGGGCGAGGTGGCGGGTGCCTGTAGTCCCAGCTACTCGGGAGGCTGAGGCAGGAGAATGGCGTGAACCCGGGAGGCGGAGCTTGCAGTGAGCCGAGATCTGGCCACTGCACTCCAGCCTGGGCGACAGAGCAAGACTCCGTCTCAAAAAAAAAAAAAAAAAAAAAAAAAAAAAAAAAAAAAAAAAAAGGCAGGATGAATCACTCGCCCGGTAGTGACGGAAGAGGCCGTAGAAGCCTCTTAGAGGCCAGATTCCGCGGTGGCGGCCTCTGTGCCCTTCATTCCGCTACCCATCCGTCCACCGAGTGCCTGCTAGTCGCCAGGAATCCGGCCACGGAGAGACTGAGGTCGACTCCCGACCGAGAAGCCTCGCGCTGGGACCAGTCGTTTTGACAGTGGCAAAACGACTCCAAATGCAGCAGCATCCACGCGGCGGCCGTGTTTGAGGAACAGAAGCTGAGGGCGGCGAGGGCGGTCACAGAGGAAGGAAGTTCAGGGTTGGCCAACAGGAGCCGCAGGTGCCCCGAAAAGGGGGCGGGGTCAGGGGTGCCCTGAACTCCGAATGCGAACTTCTGTCTATCACAGCCAAGCACGCTGCTTCTTGGATTGACCTGGCAGGATGGCGCCACCACCAGCTGGAGTGAAGCTGGGCGCGTTCCTGGCAGTGACTCCGAATCCCGGGAGCGCAGCGAGTGGGACAGAGGCAGCCACAGCCACACCCAGCAAAGTGTGGGGCTCTTCCGCGGGGAGGATTGAACCGCGGGGCGGGGGCCGAGGAGCGCTCCCTACCTCTATGGGACAGCAGGGACCCAGTGCCCAGGCCCGGGCAGGGCGCGCCGTAGGACCCAGGTCGGCACAGGGAGCCAGCCCTGGGCTCCGGGTCCACAAGACCCTCAAGTTTGTCGTCGTCGGGGTCCTGCTGCAGGTGAGTCCCCATCGCGGTCCTGCCTGGGGAAAAGCGCGCCTGGCGCCGGGAGGGGGCAGGGAGAGAGGGGGACACGGCGGGGGTGCCTGGCCCTGGTCGCTTGTGGCGGGGCATGTCCGGCCAGAGGAGTCCGTCGTCGAAGTCCGAGGAAGAGCGGGGTCCCCGGGGCCAGGCAGGAGCGGCCGGGGTCTGGAGGGAGCAGAACCCCCTCCCGCAGGAGGCTGGGCCCGGGGACTCCACCACGTTGGCCGCTGCCTAGCGCAGCTCCTTCCTCCCCACACTTCAAGATGTATCGGGACGTTTCAGAATCGATAGAGCTCAAGTGTGTAAACTTCCAAGCCACCTCCGAGCCACACCGGCTGCGTGAATGGGGAGCACCATTCTCCTCCCCATTCCCTCATTCTCTCCCCACCCCCATCCTTCTTTTCTCTCTCTCTCTCTCTTTTTTTTTTTGAAACGGAGTCTCGCTCTGTCGCCCAGGCTGGAGTGCGTTGGCGCGATCTCGGCTCACTGCAACCTCCGCCTTCTGGGTTCAAGCGATTCTCCTGCCTCAGCCTCCCGAGTAGCTGGGACTACAGGCGCCTGCCACCACCCCCGGCTAATTTTTTGTGTTTTTGGTAGAGATGGGGTTTCACCATGTTAGCCAGATCCGCCCGCCTCGGCCTCCCCAAGTGCTGGGATTACAGGCGTGAGCCACCGCGCCCGGCCCTCCATCCTTCTTTTCTTAGACAAATCGGTTAAACACGCAGCCCGGCAGAAAAAGTAACTTTCTCTCCGCTGCTTGTTGTCTTCCGTTTCGAGTCCACTAAGCACACCGGCAGCAGTTTCCTTCCAGCCACTTTCTTGCACATCAACAGGTACAGGGCAGTGAATTGACCACGAGGCAGGCAGCCAAGACCGGGGCACGCCCTTCCTTCAGGAGGCAGCGTTTCCTGTGAAAGCAATCACTCAGTCTGGAAAAATGCCAATACCTTCGGTTCTCTTTCAAGTTCATTAAGTCTCTATCAATTGTTCTCTTTCAGATTCCTTCTATGTTAAGGAAAAACAAAACAAAAGCTAAATTACCTCAAAGATAAACCAGTCTTCCAAGTGTCGGTAAATTTTAAGTGTTTTTGTTTAACAAACTAAACAAAATCCAGGAAACCAATAGCATTTTGTAATCTCCAAATAATTACAGAATTTATGTTTTAAACATCAGTTTATATTAGGTGGAACCCACGGTTGATGCTTTTCTTTTTGACAGGCTAGTGCGATTCCAGGTGGATGTAGGGCTCACCTGTGTAGACAAGGTCAAACGTCTGAATTTGGTGGTTTTGGAAATGTGACAGTGCGTTTGTGTGGCTATAAAAAAATACTTGAGGCTGGATAATTTATAAAGAGGTTTATTTGACACATGATTCTGCAGGCTGTACCAGAAGCATGACACCAGCATCTGCTTCTGGCGAGGCCTCAGGAAACTTCCACTGGTGGTGAAGGGGAAGGACAGCTGGATTCTGCCCATCAGGGAAAGGGGTGGGGAGGATGGCAGGGGGAGGGGGACGATTTCCGAAAGGGGAGGGGGAGGGGCCAGGTTCATTCTAACAACCAGCTCTCATGGAAACTAAGAGTGACAACTCCTGGGGGAATGTGGGAGGGGGCAGGTATGGCACCAAGCCTTTCATGAGGGATCCACCCCAAACGCCAACAGGCCCCACCAGCTACACTGGGGTTCAGATTTCAACATGAGACCTGGCAGGGACAAAGGACCCAGAGCAGACACCAAGGCCTTCTTCCATCCCACAGGACCCTCTCATCCCACCATCCATCAGCCTTCTTCCTGTGCATTTGTAGGTACTTTAGCTTTTAAAAATTCTGACTGAACAACAAATCACATCAGATGTTTTCTATCAGTCCATGCATGTATCTCATTTTCTTTAACAGCATCATAATATTTAGTGCATGGGTGAAACACATGGGGTGAACCACAGTTGATTTTAATCTTCCATCCTATGGGCAATTGTTAACATTATGTCCTGCCTTTGTTTTTACTACTTCCAGCAGCATTGTAGTGAGAACCCTTGTATGTATCATATGTCCATATGTCAATATTCTCTGGAGTATCGGGCAGCCCTTTAAAAGAGGAATTCTTGGGTTAATGAGCTCATTAATTTAGAATTTTGTTTGGATAGTGCTAAATTGTCCTTTGGGAGAAGATTATACCAATTTTACTCTCACACCAAGAATACACAAGCATGCCCGTGTCCCTGCACCCTTACTACATGGAACTTCCATTCTTTGCGACTCTTAAGAGGTAAAAAATGATAGACCTCAATGTTTGTATTTTTTTATTTCAGTGTTATTAGAGATTTTCAAGGATCCAGGAGTTTTTTGAGACTGGGAGTAGATGACCTAGAGCTAATCTTCCAGATTAGACTGCTGGGGAGGGAGCGAGGAAGACCGCAGTCGCACCTCTGCACTTGGGAAACCAAGGTCAGCTGGGGCCAGTCACTTGGGAAACCGAGGTCAGCTGGGGCCAGTCCCTGCCACCGGCCATGCCTGTGAATAGAGATAAGGTCTCTGTCCTCAGGCTGTCAGGATGACATCAGATGAGCCTGGAGCTGAGCTCAGTTGCTGACCCCAGGTCCTGGCTCTGTCAGTGCTAGGCTGGCCCAATCTCTGTGCCAGGTCCTTCCACCTTGCCTCTCTCTTTATCAAAGTAGGAAATGAGAAATTCTGAAGGCTCTGAAGCTTAGTCAGTCAGTCTGTCAAAGAGCCCAGAGACTGGAGGCTGAAGACGGCCAGAGTTGTCCGTGCTCCTCTTCAGCTCTGTGACTCTGGTATGGCCCAGCTCCTTCCTGTAAAATAAGACAGAGATAAAAGTCTGCCGAGGCCCTGTATAAACTGCAGTGGACTGTATTGGCAGTGGACTGTGTGACTCTGCTGTGGCCCCAGCTCCTTCCTACAAAATAGGCAGATATAAAAGTCTGCAGAGGCCCTGTGTAAACCACAGTGGTCTGTGTTGGCAGATGTGTGTTGTCATGTAGGAGGACAAATCACACTCTCAGGGCTGGTGTCACTCACTCAGGACTCTGGATCCCCAGGGCACCTGTCCTCCACCCAGCAGAGGCTGCACCTGCTCCTACCTGCACCTCAGCGCGGGCTCCCTGAGCTTGGGGCAGAAGGTTCTAAGGAATGGGGTGGGGTGCCATGGGGAGGGGATGTGGAGGAACAGAGGAGCCAGACTTCAAGGGAGGACAAAGATGGCACTGCAGGGCCACAGCCTGGTTTACCTGCCACGTTTCCTTCCAGTTTTCCTTCTGGTGGGCGCCCGGCACTGGTTGCAGTTTGAAGAGTGAGCAGGAGAGGTCTCCATCCACGTGGCTGCAGATAGCTGCTCACTCAGCCCCTACTGAGAGGCCACAGTCCCAGTTCTGATCCTTGTCCTGTATCCAGGAGTGGCAGGGCAGTGAGGCTCCCGCTTTCAGGGACGGGGACAGTGGGGACAGTGCCATGCTCCAAGCCTGTGCTGTTGGACAGTTGGTGTCCTGCTCCTGGCCAGATACTGCACATCTTCATTCAGGGTATTTTCCTAACCTAAGGGAGATGGGGCTTGTTGCTCTCATTTTGTCTGGGGAGAAAATGAGATTTAGGAGGAGGAAGTGCCCAGCATTTGGGACCTGGCCTGCTTGATAGTAGCAGCTGCCTGTTGGTCTGGGAAGGGGCTCTTCTGGATTCTCAGGCAGGTATCTGTGATAATGGGGAAAGGAGAAAGGGTTTGCTTTGTAG